CCAGTATGTGAGGACGTTCTGGCCAGTTTTATGCCTGGGCCTAAGTTTCCCTTTTTAGGAAAGCTCACGGAATGTGTGGTGGAGTAACTCTGCAAGTTCTCAAAAGATGCATCTTTTTCTTGTATCTCTCCTGCCCCCTGCCCCGCTTAAATACAACTTGAATTAGTTATTAGAATTCACCTATGCAGCAATATGGACCACCCTGACAATGAAGATACCCATGAAGTTGCCTTGTCAGTGGGAGATCTTCCTGTGGACATTAACAGGGACTGTACAGCTCTGTTTGTCTTATTGCCAGTGACTTGAACACCCGATTGGAATGCCAGTCTTGGATCCCTAATGGTTTAATTCCTTCCTGGCCACAGAACTCCATATTGTCCCTGATGTGATATAACACTTATAGGAAGTAATTGGGCTTATCTGCGGCTCTGGAAGGAGGTGTCATTCACTTATATATAGCTCTGTGACCAAGCATCTGGGAGCTGTTGCTTCTGCCCAGAACCAGTGCTTTGTCAGATGAATGAGGCAAGCAGTTTGAGAATGAATCCAGATTAGTCTGTAGTGACGTTGGTAATGGACAGGGTGGAACTGGTTTCTCTGCTTTGGAGAGGCTTTGGTTCTCCCTATTGGACCCAGGATGGCACAGCACGCTTCTAGATCCAGCAATCGGTTTTGTTAAAGCAAATTCCTGTGGCATACAGAGGTTTCTTTTTTCCTGCTGCATTTAGTATGCAGGCTGTATCCCTTTTTGGACAAAACAGATCTTGCTTATGTGATTAACTGCTGTGAACAGGGAAGCAGTGGCTGCCAATATGCTTCTAACTAAATTCAACATGTGCCTTTAATGGAAGGGTAGGGAACAAGTGGTTCTTCAGGTGCCTTGGCCTATGATTTTCATCAGTTCTAGCTGGCATTATTGTATGAGGGAATATGGGGTTTGTAGGCCAAAATATTTGGAGGTCTACAAGTTTCCCATCTCTGGCAGGCTACAAGTTACCCATCCTTGGTTTGAACCATTGAAGTCCTTCATGACTTGGAAGGCATGTTCTTTAGACGTCAATTCCCTATGTCAGTCCCATGTATAGCAATCCCACACCAAATTTGCATATTGATATGGCCCTATTTAACATCCTATTAAGCAAGGTAAGAACTCTGGCTGCTAAAAGCAGGACCTTTACAGTGTTGGCCCTGATGTTGTGGATCAAGTACTGCTGAAGTACAAGATTGGTCCTTTTTCTGCTTTCAGGAAGGGTTGTAAGCCTGCCTATTCCAGTTATTTTTCCCTCTCTGCATTCAGCTGAATCAGCTGGAAGCCAGTGGATGCTTTTAACTTAAAATTCTCAGATAAATATTCTGTCTTTTCATAGTTTTATTTTGCTGCTTTAAAGTGTTATATTGTTTTAAGTGTTACTTTATTAATTGTAAGCCACTTTGAGATAGTGCGATATCAGCCTATACATGCTTTAAGTAAATTACCATGTAAATTCCTTTCTTGCACTTCTGTGAATTAAGATACTATATATAATCCTTCATTATCAGATTTTCCAAGTGGTGTAAATAATTCAGACCCAATGGATAAAAATATTATATGAAGTTGGTAACTCTTATTACTGGTAGTATATGTAAAACAAACTGTTGTGGTGCCTGTCAAGTGCTCTACCTCAGGAAACAGTAATTTGATAGCACTATTTTCCCCCAGTGGAGGAGTTTCCATGGGGCATCATCACTCAACATACAACTGACAGGTTCTTCTTGCAACAGGATTCAGGATGGTGTGTACATGACAGGTAACTAAAAAAGGAGCATGGCAATTTCCATCAGAAGGTGGTGAGAATAATTTGTAGAGGCGACAGGCATTCTTGCATGGCTCGTGCTAAATTTCTGATGGAATTTTTTTGAACGAGCTAGTTTTTTTAAAAATATCCATCAGGTTTTGACAAGAGGTATCTTTATTGGTATCAGAATGCACATGTTGCCTGCCAAGAAAAGGAGACATCTTTCTCATTGACCATCTTACTGGCCATTTTCAATCCAGTGGGTTGCTCATTTGGGATGTTTCAAAGTGGTTTGGTCCAGGCACCTATCAATTTCTGTGACTGTGATGTTTCTTTGTGAACCACTGCTGAGATCTAATCCAGCATACTGTACTAATTCTGTACTACCTATCTTGTTAGCGGACTGGTTAGGTTAGCACACTAGTCCTGAACTGGTGAGTCATAGCAAAGTATCTGAGGCCTGGTTATGCTTTCTCAGTGACGCCAACTGTACTACCATAATGTTCTTTTAAAAATGATGTTTTGAGATGGGTGGTAATTGAGAGGGTTACAGGAGACAGAGAAGAAAATTAAAGTGCAAAGGAAACAGGAGAATACCCATCATTAACACAAGTAACCACTATGTTGCAGCATGGAACAATATAATCCTCTACAGTAAAACTGATACAGTGGGAGGAAAAAACAGCAAAAGTTCCTAAAAACAGCAAACACTTGCAAATAAAACATATTTATTTATCTATTACTGTATGTATAAACTGCCCCATAGCCCATTGGGCTTTCTGGGCAATGTACAATGTAAAACAGAATTAATAACATTAATAACCAATAAAAACATTTGGCAACTCAGCAAGACTATAACAAAAATAATACAATTTATGGCACAGTAGCAGCTCGAAAACAAACATCCATACACAAACATCAATAAAACAATATTAAAACCTAACATTAGTTAATAAAATCTCTGGCAAATAAAAAAGTGTTAATCTGGTGCTGGAAGGAGGTCAAGGATGGCCCCAGGTGAATTTCCTTGGGGAGCATGTTCCACATCTGGCTTATCCAGTATTGAAATCTACAACACAACTGCAGCTACAAACCAGAATATTTTGATAAAACATAATCAGAGGCGGGCCCCTGTTATTGTACTTATGTGATGAAAATAAAACAGCAACCATTTCTGATATGGGAGTTATTTTAAGAAAAACAGTCTCAGAAAATAAAGAAAAAGTAAGGAAAGTGTCAGATGTATATGCAGAGTAGACATTCACTACGGTAAACCTGCATTGTGAATTGGTATTGTTCTCTTTTTTAATTTACTGCTCATGAGAAAAAAGGATCATACTTAAGACTTTCCCATTTTTTATGTTTTTAGTTTTTCGCCAATAGAAGCTTGTTTTCATCATTCATGGAATGGGTTAGCCCCACTGCAGATCTTCTTAAGTGGGGCATGCAGAGGATTTGCTTGTTCTTAGCAATAAAACATGTGAAGTCCAGACTTCTTTTTCCTGGCCAATACTACCTGCAAGATTATTTGTATCACTGTAACCTGTCATAGAAGCAAGAGGTCACACTGAATTAACTATTCAAGCATACTCTGCTTGTAGTCACCACTATTTATTCTGGCTCTCCACCTTGGACAGAAATCTAACAAAACAGATCAAATACCCAAATAAATCTCCACTTGAAATTGGCAACTATATGACATCCATGCATATATTGAAAGCACTGTAAGATCCTCAGTCTGTTACACTATAGAAAGTGTTACTCCCAATCTTTTAGCTGTCAAAAGTATATAGAGAATCCATTTCCCTTCCATTTGTTAATTTCTATGAAGAAGCTCAATCAAGAGTGTATATGTGAGTGCAAAAAACTGTTCCAGTACAAAATTTATCTGTGCAATATCTCCTCAAAAATGAAGCAACTGCTTGACATTGGCAAAACATATGTTTAAAAGAAGTGTTGGCTGTATTGCATCATCAACAACGAGCTCAGTTAGACAATCCCATAGTAAAGAGACATTGCAGTGTCCCATAGCCATGGAACGAATATTTTTGGTCAGTAAGATCTAGCTACGAGCCACACCTGTGACAGGGAGACGCCCAAGCGGCTATCTACTGATTAGGCATTTTGTGCTGGTGCCCACAGCAGTTTCTCATTCCACAGGAGATTGGAGAGCCCCACGTTAGAGTTTTGGGCTAGGCCTAGGGAAAGCAAGGTTCATTTCCGCACTCGATCATGAAGCTTACTGGTGTTTGTGACAGTCACAATCTCTGACAAGATTCTTGCGAGGGTAAAATGGATGGGGCATGTTGGAAGGAGGGCATGCTATGATGTCAAAGTAAATAAATAGAGAATACAAGGTTTGCAAAGGTTAGGAATAGTGGATGAAATGGGAAAGGATAGAAAGAAAACCTTTTAATGAAAGGATTCACTCGACTTGGATTAAGATTTAGGCCACAATCCTAAAGATACATGCCAGGGATTAAATCCGGTGAGACTTCTGCAAAAGTAAGCGTAGGCTCGTTTAAGGCAATAGACGAAAGGTAGAGTGAGGAAGGAAGCCCCAAAGAAAAGAACGCAGGAGCCGCTACCTTCCCCCTAAAGATGGTGCCTACCTGCTCAGAGTCTCAAATGATTCTGCAGGCTGCTGCCGGGAAGGGAAAGAGACACAACCCTAAGCTTATTTTTGAACTCAGCGGGACCAGGCTCCAACCAAGGAGGGAGATCCTGCCTAGGTTAGGGCTGTTGCGGTACCCTTCCAGACAGATCCTGTTCATATTCTATTCGGAATTAAATCTCAATGTTTTGCTTTCCACTGAATACGTGTAGGAGGATCGGAGCCACGAAAAAGTACTAGATAGTTTCCTTGGAATCAGTAGGCCCCAGTTTTTTCCGTCTGCTTGAGCTGGAAAGCCGCGGCAGCAGCTCCTAGCCCCGGTCGGCGGCGGAGCAAAAGGCGCTTCCTCCCTTCTTCCCGAGCACGGCCCCTTTAAGGAGCACCTCCTCTCGCCGAATTGCATCAGGCACGCGCGCGGCCCTCGAGCTCCCTGATTTTCCTCCTTCCCCTGCTGGTTTGGATGCGCGTTCGCGGTCCGGGCGAGCGTGCACGCTCTCAGCCACTCTAAAGGCGGAGCTGGCTGAGGGGCGCGCGCTCTCGTCGGCCAGTCGCGTGGTCTTCTCGCTTCTCCATATTGCTGCGGCGGCATTAGAGGAGACGGGGGAGGGGGGACGCCGGGGTTGGGTTTCAAGGGTGGGGGGAGGAAGCCGGCGTCTCGAGCCCCCCCCCGCGCTTCGGGGTGCGCATCTACCTGAGCAAAGCACTGGGACTGAAAGGAAGAGAGCGAAAAAGAGGGGCAGGGACGCGCTGCGCCTGGTGAGGTGATTTTGGGAAGGGGGAGTCGCAAAGTTTGGGGCGGGCGCGTGTTGTCCGGAGAGAGCCTGGAGCCGGGGGAACGAGGCGGCTCTGCGGGGGCGCAGATGGCGACCCAGGTGGAGGCTCTCCTGCCCGCGACTCCCCTGCTGTCTTCCGAGGAACACGGACTCGTTATCAAGAAGCCTCAGGAGAAAGGCGAGCACCTCATGCACCAAGGAGAGAAGGCCAACGCCGACGAGGGCAAAGGGGCCGGCCCCGACAGCTGCAGCAAGGAAGGCGGCGGCGGCGGCAACGTGGGGGAACATTTGCGCCGGAATGGGGCTCTCCTCAGGCCCCCCAGTATCAAGCAGCAGAAGGAGGACAGTAACAACCAGGAGAAAGAGAACCTGCTGCATCAGCGGAGCGGCGGCGGCGTAGAATCGAACCGGCTGCCCGGCGAGGCCGGCAGCAACAGCAGCGGCGGCGAGGAGGGCGGCGAGCAGGGAGGAGTTGGGCGCAAGGAATTCATCGAGGCCCCCCCGCCGAAGGTGAACCCTTGGACTAAGAACGCGCCCGTGGCCCTGGTCGCTCTCAACGGACAGTCCCCGCCAGGTGGGTAGGGGGCGAGCGGGCGGGCGGGCGGCTAGGCAGGCGAGGGCTGGCGGCGGCGGCGCTGTGACACTCTCCGCCTGATACGGCGAGCGAGCGCCAGCCAGCCAGCCAGCCATTCGAGGTGGGGAGGCTCGCCTCTGCAATATGGTGACATTCTCCCTCCCCCACCCACCACCCACCCCTCCACCTTGTGGAACTCCACCCCGTCTTTGTCCATCCGCCAGCCACCCTCCCTCGCCGCGCTCCCTCGCCCCACGCTCCTTGAGCCGCTTGGTAAAAAAGCAGCAGCGAAGCGAGGCTAATGGAGGTGGAGGCAAGCATGCTACAGGGCTTTCAAAATCGAGCGTGAGAGATGGAGGGCCCTGCTCGCTGGAGAACACGCCCGCGCTGGGCACAGATGGAACTACCTTTTTTTAATGGGTGCCGCCCCCCGCACTCCCCCCTCCGCGTGCTGGGTAGGGAGTCGTGCTTTTCTGTAGCGGCGAGGCGGGCGTGTAGTGGTATCTCCTTTATCCAGCCCTCTTCCCCAATCTTTTTCTTTCACACACACCCGTTGTTGTGATATATTTATCGGGTTGTAAATATTTAAAGAACGCGAGCTCTAGAGATTCCCCACGCCGATTCCTTTTCCTAAATAGACCTAATGAGATGGGGCGGTGTTGGGTGAAGTCTAAGAATATCCGGAGGTTAATGCAACCCAGGCCAAGGTAGACATCTTCGACCTCTCCGTTTGGGACGGGGTGGTCGGGTAAAGAGGTCGCATTCGATGAAGCGAACCCTGACTGTCCTTAATATTAAGTCCTAAACGGCGAGAATTCAAAATCCTTGTGTGTTTAAACCGTCGAACGCCTCGATTTGTCTGTGCCGGGAGCTGGAGGAGTGGAAGAAAGGGGAGGCCAGCCGACAGCTGAGTCCCCTTGAGGGAGACATGAGGGCGGAGAGAGCATGTGTGCGGCACGGAGGGCAGGGGGGCCGGCGATGGGCCACGCGGCTCCGCCAGAGAGGGACGCCGGGGCAAGTGGTGCATTTCCGGCGGTTCGGTGGCGTGGCTGCGGCGTTCTAGGCCCGGTGCGAACGTGCCGCTGGCGGCGGTTTGAGAGTTCCGTCCCTTAACGCTCCGCCGCCCAGTGGCTCGGTGCGCGCGCGCGCGCGCGTGTCGCCGTGTTCGGTGTCTCTTCCCTTTCCCAGCATTCCACTGCAGTAAAGGCAACGTGGTTTTCTGTCGGGGCAAGCATGTGATTGCGCTGATCTCACTGAGGCCTTGCGTTTGGACCCTTTTCCCGACAACGGCCGTGTTCTTTCTTTCCTTTTGACCTGGGCCCCAAAGAAAACCATCTTTAGGACTCCAGCAGATGCTCGCCGAGATTCTCGGTGACAGCGAAGCCTGCGTCAAGGAGAGAGGGCCGAGAAAGGCTAGGCCTCTCCGACCTCCTCCTAGCTATGTTTCCGTGTGTGGTAACTGTAACGTATTGCCGTTTCTCTTCGCGAGGAGGGCGGTTCCCCCCATCCCGACATTCTCGTACTCTTACTCGTGCAAGAAGTTTCCCGTGATAGGCAATGTGGAACAAAGTTTTCCCAGATGTCCACGTGGGCTGAATCCTTTGTAGAGTTATACAGCTGGGCTTTGCAGTCTCCTGTGTTTTACCGGGCCAGCACCCTGAAATATGGGTCTACTGTCTGCTTTCATAGTAGAGTTGGGTGCTCTATGCTGTCATTCTTAGCATTGTTCCTGAGTGGAGGTGTTTATCCACTCAATTCCATTCTGCACCTTGTCACATAAAAGTTCGAAAAGTGAAATACCAGAAACTAACTATTGTTGTTATTAAGTTTATGTCTGTACTTTGGGATATCTGAAGCTCATAATTGCACAAAATACAATATAAAATCAGTTATCTTTGTGTACAATAGTTCTGTTCCTTCAAAACATATGTTTTAGAAGAGAAGGAGCCTGGAAGAACTAAACTTACTAATTTATAAACTTCGTAGATATTCTCTTACATAGTAGCATATGGATGAAAAATTTGAACGTAGTTTATGCATATGAAGGGTGGTTAACTAGGGAAAAGCACTTAAAACAAAATTAGTATTTTTAAACTGGTACATTAGTGGAATTTCCAATCTTCACAATTGTTTAAATTATTCATCAGGCCTGCTCAAGGTTTTTTTATACCATATCATATAATGCAATGTGATGAATCATCAGGTTTTACTGTCTTCTGGAAGACACAGAGCTCTGTAGCACCTGGCTGATATGCTGTTTTTTCCCTTCAAACTGTGGGTGTGATGTTTTATTGCAAATGCAGTGGCATGATTCTATTTTTAATAATGAAGACTTGGAGCCTGGTATTAATGGATTGTTGGGACACACTTAAGAACAAGTATTTTGAGGTTTTCTAGAGTCTTTTTCATAGCATTAATAAAACCTAGGCACTGGAGATGCTTAGCATATTGAGTGAACTGAGTAAATTACTACTTTGCTTTACTTGTTTCTAAGGTACATTAATAAAAATGTGGTATGTGCTGTTACCTCCAACTTAATGGTGACCCCATGAATGAACGCCCTTAAAAACATTCTGTCCATATTTAAATTATTTTTAATTAATCTTTTTTATCAGTGGCTACAGGATCACAATAAACAGACTTGTTTCATATTGTTATAGTGTTATCAATATGCTTGGTGTTTTCATAGAAGTTACTTTTCTTGTTAAGGAAGAAAAGTTGTTCAACATCTCTTGATTTCCTATACTTCTGAAGTCTGGCAACAAGATCTGCAGAGTTTTGTTATTTTCAGCATATTCTTTGGGTTTATAAAGGGTGGAGCAAATCTGTGTTATTGACATGATACAAAGGTGAATGTTCCCAATAAGACTTAATAGAATCCTTCTCCCATCTACACTGTGTATTATGGAGTAGTGTATACCAGTGATGTCCCCATGACCCTCCCTGTTAATGCATTATATTCATGCTCCAAGCATTGGCTGACATGCAAAACATGGGAAGAAAGGGCTGAACAGGAAGTTAATAGAAATGGAAGATGTTATGTTCTCCTTATTGCTTAGTTTTCAGGCAGTAAACACATGGTGCAAGTGGTTCATACTTACAGTGTCATTCTGTACTCCATATTTGTTGAACTATTGAAAAGACTTCACAAGTGCTGCAAACATTTATGCTGCTTGGCAGCAGTGGACATAATACAGGCAATGGTATCTTTGGCAAATGGTTCCATCGTTTGGCTTTTTTGGCATTTTTTCCTGGCTATTTTTTAAGGCACTTGAAACAAACATGGTAGTTACATATTGCTAGATAAGACTAACCAGTAGCTGAGAACAATCCGATGAGCTTTAGCTTACCTGATTGTTTTGTGGTTTCTGCCTTTTGATAGGATCCTTCCTGAATCTGTTGCTTTCCAGATTATTTCAGCTACAGCTCCCAGCATCCTTGACCATTGGCCTTGGTGGCTGGGGATAGAAGGTTAAGCCAAGCCCAAAAACTGGGGAATTCTGTTTTATGGCATGCTGCACAAATTTAAAAGAGTGTTGGAGTGTTTTGTATTTGTGGGCAGGCACCTGGCAGCTCAATGTGCCAATGTTCTCTGTTTGTAATTTTGCTATATTTGTTTAAACTTCCAAAAGTTTCTCTGTTTACAGAAAGTGTACTGCAGTGTAGTATTGATTTTCTAAGCTGTACATTGGCAAAGGTGATGTGGCATCTATACTTGCATGATGCATAGAAGATTGGCCTATAACAGATTAGGAGGAATATAATGCATTTTAGGAATAAACTAATAATTTCTGACGAACACCTTGTGTGTTAAGGAAGAGAGGAGTGTATAATAGTAAAACAATGCTTTATGTGTTTACTAAGATGGTTAATACTTGCAGTAGATTTATAGGAAATAAAGAATCCTTCCAACAATACACCTCTGGAAATGCTTTTATTTCATTTCTATACAACAAAGTATAAAAACAATAAAATACAATAGATAAAAATAATTAAAATTAATTCAGGATAATATAAAAGAATATTAAGAGACAATTAAAAGGACCAGGCCAAGAGTAAAATCATATCAGGCCCTGGAATGGCCAGGAAGGTCTTTAAAGGTCTCTGCAAAGATGGCTGACTTAATGTGGTGCTGAAAAGATGGCAAAATGGGTGCCAGGTAGGCTGCAGCAGTTATTCCAAAGATGGGGGCCACCACTGAAAAGGTCTCCCTAGTTGTTACCTTCTGAGCCTCCCAAGAGGTTGGCACTTGGAGGAAGGCCCCAGAGGTTAAGCACCGTGTCCAGATAGATTGGGGTTGGGAAAGGTGTTTCTACAAGTATTGTTGTTCCAAACTGTGTAAGGTTTTATAGGTTAAGCCCACCTTGAATTGAGACTAGAAGCATGCAGGCAGCCTATGTAGGAAGGCCAAAACTTGTCTTATATGTTTGGACCTCTGGGTCTCAGTTACTAACTTGGTTGCTGCATTCTGCACTAGCTGTAGCTTTTGAACCATCTTCAAGGGCAGCTTCACATAGAGTGTGTTTCATTAATCTAATTTAGAGATTACTAAAGCATAGATTACTGAAGCTAGGCCCTGCCCAGGTAGGGGCACAGCTGGTCTACCAGCCAAAGCTGGTGGAAAGCACTCTGAACCACCAATGCCACCTGAGCCTCAAATGACAAAAGATGGCGCAAGGAGCACCCCCAGGCTACAAACCTGCTTCTTCAAGGGGAATACGCCCCGATCTTGAACAGGTTGAACAGTCCTGACCAAGTCAAAGGAGTCATCCACCAACAGCATCTCAGTTTTGTCTGGATAGAGTTTCAGTTTGTTAGCCCTCATATAGTCCATTATCGTAGCCAGGCACCAGTTTAGCACATACACAGCCTCACCTGCCAATGATGAAAATAGATATAGAAGAGATAGAGCTGTGTGTCATCAGTGTACTGATGGCAGTTCACTCCAAAACTCTGGATGACTCCACTCGGTGATTTCATACAGGTGCTAAATAGCATGA